GATTTCTCACTTTCTGTCTCTCTGTCTCTGTCTGGCGAGCACACGCGCCCTATAGCAAAAACCTCTCCAAAAAAAGAAAAAGAGAAAAAAAAACACACACAAAGCCGTAACTTCTGACAGTTACAGCGATCGCTACTCATTAACCGTTTTCTTCAGCAGCGAAGTGTCTCTAACTGAGAACATGAGTCAAAATGCCAGTACATTGGATTGTACACTGCAGCTTTTTGTTTTTTTTCCTAAAAGGTGCTTGCTCTCAGTAGAAAGGGAGAGAGAAAGCACCCCTGTGAGGAACAGGCATAAGTGCCCAGCATGTTTCTCAAGCCTCTGGGTCTGGGACTTGAACCACAGTCAGCTCTATGGGATCTGGCTGCCTTGACCAGCAGGCTGCAGAGCTGGCCCTGTTTTGTTTTTTGAGACAGGGCCTCACTGGGGTTGGTCCTCCTGCCTCAGCTTCCCATATGGGACTGTAGGCATGTCCCCCCGTGCATGGCCCTTCTCTAGTCAGGGCCTCACTATAGTGGGTCCTCCTGCCTCAGCTTCCCAGCTGGGACTGTAGGCGTGTCCCCCCGTGCATGGCCCTTCTCTAGACAGGGCCTCACTATGGTGGGTCCTCCTGCCTCAGCTTCCCAACTGGGACTGTAGGCATGTCCCCCCGTGCATGGTCCTTCTCTAGACAGGGTCTCACTATGGTGGGTCCTCCTGCCTCAGCTTCCCAACTGGGACTGTAGGCATGTCCCCCCGTGCATGGTCCTTCTCTAGACAGGGTCTCACTATGGTGGGTCCTCCTGCCTCAGCTTCCCAGCTGGGGCTGTAGGCGTGTCCCCCCATGCATGGCCCTTCTCTAGACAGGACCTCACTGTGTCTCCTAGGTCAGTCTTGAGCGCACGATCCTTCTGCCTCAGCCTGTCTGGAATGACAGTCTCATGCCAACGCCCGGCATTTCAATTGGTTGGGAGTTGAACCCAGGCCTCCCCCATGGCCCCAGCCTGTGGAACTTCGCTTCTTAGCTGGCTGTGCCACCACAGCAGGGCCTCTGTGTTTCCAACACAGATGACATTAGTGAGCTTTACAGTAAACCAGTTCTTGCTAAAAAGTATTGGATTGAGGGGCCGCCAGGTGGCATGGTTTAGGGCGCTGGACTCCCACTTGGCCGACTACAGTTCAAGTCCCAGACTTGACAAGAACGTGTCATGACTTTTCTGGCAACCCGACTATTGTCCATGTATAAATCTAGGTAATGCCTCTGGGGCATACGTGGCCTGTCGGATTTGCTCACTAGAAGAAGGCTGTGGGCTTTAAGTAGGAGATGGCATGAGGGGAAAAGAGACGTGAATGGAGAAGTCGGAAGGGACAGAGTACTGGGCCAGCCTGTGTGGTGGTGGTTAGGCGGCTGAATCCCACGCGGCCACCTGCACAGTTCAAGTCCCAGACCCTGTAGCTTGAAAAATGTGCCAGGCATGTGTGAGGGCGTGCCCCAAATCCTGGAAGGCAAACAGAAGGGATTGCAGCATGACCACGGGCCCGGGGGCGCTTGCTCATTTTCTCTCCCTCCACCCCACCCAGCCAGCACTCAAAGCCAGTAAAAGGAGGGGGACAGAATATTGAGAGCTTCAGGTCATAACTCTCTGTCGATCATGGGACCCCCATCGATGAGCCTCTCTTTTTCGTAACTGCAGAAGGGCCGTTAAGCGCCTGGCATCCAGTGGGCTATGGTCTGCTGACAGGCGTGACCAGGCTAGTTCATGGCCGAGAGCCTCGTTAGTACGAGCCAGGTCTGTGCAGGTGGGTGGTGACAGTTCTGTCACTCGTGGCCACAGACCTCGCCTCTTCCAGATCGACTTCAGCTCCCTGACGAACTCCGACGGGTGGCTTGGCGTGCGGTGCTGTTGTTCCGTGTTGTGTTTTTAACGGGAAGTATTTTATAGGGAATACCCAGCTGGCCTTACAGATCATCAAAAGGAACCAGCTGCTCCCCGCGGTGAAAACACACTCGGAAATGAGGAAGAAGCCGGTGTTCCAGCCTGTCCACCCGATCCAGCCCATCCAGATGCCGGCCTTCAGCTCCGTGCAGAGAAAGTGACGCTTCGCTTTGAGAGAACGCGTTACCAGAGGCGCAGAGGAGTACTGGCTGGCCTTCCTAGTGGCATCGCAGTAAACGGAACGGAAAGGCAGATGAGAGGTGCTCATGCGAGGACACGATTTCCAGACAGTCTCACTGAAGAGCCTGACTTGTTGTTTTTTGTGTTTTTTTTTTTTTTGCCAGAAGCTTCCTTAAAATTAAGGATTCACGAAGTCGTTCTCAGCCGTTTTCTTTTCATCTCTGCCAGACTATTAAATTTTGAGCCGCTGCGTGATGCCACAGGCAATTAAACCACGGTCTTAGCAGAATGCCTTTTACAGTCTTCCTTGTAACGGGTAGAGTACTTGAGTATCTGAGGTTTTAATGTTTAAAAGATTGGCAGAGGCGCCAGCAGGTGGCATGGTGGTTAAGCACTGGATCCCACAGGGCGGACTTCATAGGCCGAGTCGCTGACTCGGTGGCTTGAAAAACATGCCGGGTTCATATGCGTGTGTGCCCAAAATCCCCAGAGGAGCATGGGGGAGGAGGGATTGCAGTGTGGCCATCCCTCCCCTCCCCGAGGGTGATTTCTCATTTTCCCACTCTCTCTGTCTCTCTCCGTCTCTCTCCTTGGGCAAGTATACATGCCCTATGGCAAAAATTTTTAAAAATTAAAAAAAATTGAAAACCACTGGAAACCAGCAGTTAGCGTAATGGCTATGTCGCTGGTCTCCCACGTAGTCGACCGTGGTTCGCGTCCCGGACCTGGTGGCTTAAAACTCACGCCGGGCGCGTGTGCGTGCCTGCCCAAGATCCTGAGAGGAGAATGGAGGAGAAGGGATTGCGGCGTGACTATCCCCCCTGGGGGGTGATTTCTCGCTTTCTGTCTCTAATGTCTCTCTGTCTGTCTGGCGAGCGCACGCGCCCTATAGTGAAAATCTCTCCAAAAAAAAAAAACAAAATAGAAAACCACTGACAAAGAATACCAGCAGCAGTACCTGAATAGCCAGTCCACAAACGGACCTGAGGAGTCCATGTGTTTTATGGCTAGTTACGACTACAAGGACCAGAAAGTGCAGAATAATCCATAGGACTGGGAGAATTAGGTTAAGAAGAAAACACTGATCTTTGGGGATCATTCGCTTAAAAAGAACATGACAGGGTCCAGAGCATTGGTGTAGTTACCGTGTTCCCGTAGCCAGAAGTCCGCATTCCAGACTCTTATGAGGCAGTTCAAGGTTCATCACTAACCCTTTTGCAAACAAAATTTTAAAGACTTCCCAAAAGATAGGTATACGTCCTGGATTTGACATCGCCAAAACTGCCAATAGAGTGAGTCTAATAACTTTAAGTAGGAGAAAGTATACAGACGTTAGAGAACCTGGCGGCCCCCAGGTTAAGGTGGTATTATCTGGGGCAGGCGGTACTGCAGAGGAAGTGCACTTGGACTCACACGAAGAGGTCCTCACTTAGCACCTGGGTTCCTCCCTGCGGACGTCGGGCCTGTGCCTGCGATCCAGACTGGCTGCACTTAGGGGAGGGTGAGGTGTGTGGATAAAGGCCATAAAGACCCCCTTGAGGATGCCTGTCCTCTGACTGTTGGAAGAAATAAACTACTTTTCTTCCTTAAAAGATGGTGTTTGGGGACTAGCTAGGTGGTGTAATAGCTAAGTCGTTGGACTTCCATGTAGTCTACCGTGGTTCGAGTCCCGGACCCACTGGCTTAAGCTCATACCGGGTCCATGTGCATGTGTGTCCAAGATCCCGAGAGGAGAATGGAGGAGAAGGGATTGTGCTGTGGCCATCCCCCCAGGGGTTGGTTTCTCACTTTCTGTCTCTCTGTCTTTCTGGCCAGTGCATGTGCCCTATAGGAAAAAAAAAAAAAAAAAAAAAAAATAAATGATCTAAAAAAGATGGTGTTTGGGGAATCAGTAGATGGCATAATGGTTACATCACTGGACTCCCCCGTAGTCAACCGTGGTTCACGTCCTGGTCCTGGTGGCTTAAAACTCACGTTGGGCACGTGTGCGTGCGTGCCCAAGATCCAGAGAAGAGAATGGAGGAGAAGGGATTGCGGTGTAGCTATATCCTCTGGGGGGTGATTTTTTACTTTCTGTCCCTCCAGCAAGTGCATGCACCCGATAGCAAAACTCTCAAAAAAAAAGAAGAAGAAGAAGAAGAAAAGATGGTATTTGGCTGGTTTACCAAAGCTTGCCATTTAGGAGGAGTGTTCCTTGCTGTCCACATCTCTCCAGTTCCTAGTTTAGAGACCAGCTTTAGCTAGGGATTCCATTTGTTATTATTTTTTAATTTGACCAGAGACAGAGAGGGAAAGGGAAACAGAAAGCAAGCTGCCCGGTCCAGGACTCAAACTGTTGTCAGCCATGTGGGTGTCCAGCGCCTTTAACCACCCCACCATCCGCCGGCTCCCGGATAGGGATTCCAGCAGATACCCAGGATCTACAGGGTTTCACAGTTTCACAACTAGAGAGGCCAGTTTTAGATGAGCACATGATTCGCCTGAGACTTTATCCGTAGAGGACAGCATATAACTCAGATAGCACCTGAATATTTGTCATCTAACCGGACACTGCCCGCAGTCCTCTGGGAAGGGAGTTTCTTCCCAGGTGAATGCAGAGAGCCCTCCCTTTAATATGAGATGAGAGTTTGGGCCACGCCTGCAGCCTCTGCTCGGTGAGCCCCAGACTGAAGAGCAGGGCAGCTCAGAAAATAAGTAAGTAAATAAAGTTAAATGGGACCAGCAATTGGCGTAATGGATATGTCGCTGAACTCCCATGTATTGACCACGGTTCGAGTCCCGGACTTGGTGGCTTAAACTCACGCCGGGCGCATGTGCGTGCGTGCTCAAGATCCCAAGAGGAGAATGAAGGAGAAGGGATTGCGGCGTGGCCATCCCCCCTGGGGGGTGATTTCTCACTTTCTAGAATAATAAATAAATTAAAAATAAATCCTCCAAAAATTTTTTTAAGTAAATTAAAAAAAATAGAACTTTCTCTGCTCGCTTGTTTATAGGAAAGCAGGAATAGCTATGCAGGATAGAGTAGACCCCACGCTAAATAAGAATTTGGGCTGCAGGTGGGACTGGCAGGTGGCCTGGTGGTTAAGGCTCTGTACACTCCTGCACGGCCAAACACGATTCGAGTCTCGGACCTGGTACCTTGCTTTCTCACTTTTCCTCTCTCTTTCTCGCTGGGCAAATTAAAATAAGTTAATGAATAAATAAAATTAAATACATAATCTTTTAAGAAATAAAAAAGAAGAAAAAGAAGGGAGTACGAGGAACCAGCAGGTGGCGTGGTGGTTAAGGCGCTGGATTCCCACATGGCCAACCACAGTTGAAGTCCCAGACCCAGTGGCTTGAAGGTCACACCAGGCGCATGAACATGATTGCCCAAAATCCCCAAAGGAAAATGGAAGAGAAAGAATTGTGATATGGCCATCCCCACTGGGGGAGTGATTTCTTTCCGTCTGTCTCTGTCTGTCTGTCTCTGACAAGGGCACATGCCCTACTACAAAAACCTATTAAAAAACAAGTATGGCGTCAGTTGGAGGTATGGTAGGTAGAGTGGCTTGACCCCACGTTGCCGTCTACGTAATTCAAGTCCCAGAGCTAGTGGCTCGGAGAACACTGAGTACTACGCAGGTGTGCCCACATCCTGAGAAGGGTTGGCATTGGGTTGTCAGGAAAGTCGTGACGTATTTTTCTACACAAAAATGCATCATGATTTTCCCAACAGGAGTATGACCATCCCCCAGGGAGGTGCTCACTTTTTCTCCCGGTGAGTAGGCGCACCTTATAACAGATTGATTTATTCACTTACTTGAGAGGTTTGGGGTGTGTGCACTTTGCCAGAGAGACAGAAAGCAGGAAATCACCCCCCAGGGGGAACAGGCATGCCACAGTCCCATCTCCATTCTCCTCTTGGGACTTTAGGCACGCATGCATACACACCCAGGGTGAGTTTGGAGCCGCCAGGTTCAGGACTTGAACCTCAGTCGACTAGATGGGAGTTCAGTGACATAACCATTATGCCATATGCAGGTTTGCCCTATCGCAGATCAAAAAAAAAAAAAAAAAGTATGGGTACAGCTGGTGACATGGTGGTTAAGGAAGCTGGATCCCACATGGCTGGCTGCATGATTCGAGTCCCAGACCCAGTGGCCTGAAGGAAACGTGTACATGTGCATGCATGCCCCAAAACCCAGAAGGGTGGAGAAATTGGGGAGAAAGGATTGAGGTGTGACCCATCCTCCAAGTGGGGTGCTTTCTCATTTCCCCTCTTTGGTAAGCACAGGACCCTCTGGCAAAAACTTAAAGGAGGACGGTCACAGATAGTTACTGACCTAGGGCCTAGGGTTCAGACAAATCAGGGACTTTATTTTTCCCACACCCACAGGGCCCTCCTTCCGTCTGAGACTTCATCCCATGCTCAGATGTTCCAGCATTGCAAAAGCATTGAAGGCCAGAACAAGCGGAGGCAGCCAGGCTGCATCGGAGACTGCCAGGAGCAGAGCTCTCCTGATCCCCCAGCAGACCTGGGCCCGTCTCCTCTGGCAGATCCTGTCCTGCTGGGAAGGGGGAGAAGCGCCAAGTCTCCTGCACGCCTTTCTTTTTTCTTAACTTTTTGAGAGGTTTTTGCTATAGGGCACGTGCGCTCGCCGGAGAGAAGAGAGAGACAGACAGAGAGTGAGAGATCACCCCCAGGGGGGATGGCCACACCGCAATCCCTTCTCCTTTCTCCTCTTAGGCACACATGCAGACGCCAGCCATTTGAGATCCAGCCCCATTTGAGATCCACCCCGCCTCAACCTCTGTGCCACCTGCAGGCAGGCCCCGCACACTGAAAGATGTTCACTGCCAGGTGCCATGGGGCCAGCAGGTCGCGTGGTGGTTCAGGCTGGACGCCCACGTGGCTGACTACGCTTTGGCTTGAAAATCAGGCTGGGCATGTGCTCATGTACTTGCCTCCCCAAAATCCCAAGAGGGGGATGGAGGAAGAAGGGATTTGCAAGGGTGCTATCCCCCGGGGGAGGGGGAGATTTCACTCTCACTCTCCCTCTCCTCTACCATGAACTGCCGAGGCTGCACAAGCCCTATGACATAAACCTTTAAAAAGAGAGAGAAAAAAGCCACTTTGTTAAATGTTTTCTAGCTTCCCCACCTTCTCTCCTAATGCATACTCTTGCTTCTGTATAGATGGTTTTCTAGAATTTAACAGGTGTGGGGGGCCACAGGAATCAACCGCAGTGGAAGGTGTCTTACGTGATGGGTTTTGAATTCTTTTTTTTTAGAGGTTTTTGCTAT